GTCAAATCTAGTAGTGAAGGACTCCTAAAAAGGGATTTCTTTTGTGGGAGGGCTGGGGGAAAGGCAATAACTTCTTTCTTTCCTCCCCCTCATTCTCATCTGAAGGTGATAACTTTCAAAGGTTTATAAGAACTGCAGTTCCTATTAGTAGGTAGCAATGTCCTCGGAGTAGACTCAGCCCCCTGGCAGCATCTGTGTTGGGAACTGAGAGAAAAACCAGATACAGTGATGGCAGCTTCTATGACCTTTTAGGACATAGAGAAGTACAGGCGATGGTCTCTACACAGGTACGATCCTTGGAATAGAATAGAGAGTGACTCAGGATAGAGCTCTGGACCTGGAGTCAGGAGGACCTGAGTTGAAATCTGGCTTCAGACACGTAACATACATTAGCTTGTGACTCTGGGCAAGTCACTTAACCCCAATTGCCTTGCCAAAAAAAAAGTAGGTAGGAAGTGACTCTTAAAGAGAACTTCATGTGAACTCTAAGAAGATGAAAATGAGCTGTGAGTTAACTCTTTGTCTGATGGTTCCATACATGTGCTTCTCCCCATTTCCCCACAAATTTGAGCTCAGGGACCTTGTGTGTGAGAAGGGAGAGTATATCTCCAGTTTGTGGGGATTGTTATAACAATTGCTCTGGTTATATTTCTTTGCACATGATCCTTTCTGAAAGCTAATTAAGTCTAACTAATAATCAATGGGAAGCACATTTGCTCTTGAGCAAAAGTAGTATTAAATTCATCCCCTCAGGGCTACCTTTAGAAGTTTAAGAGGGATGTAGTTAGGCACTTTTGGGGACCTGACCCACCAATCTGAGTGGCAATTAGGGAAGTAGCCTTGGAGGGAGTACTACACTATTTTACATCTTTATCATGACCTACAGTGTCTCTGCTTCTCCCTGTTCTAATATTCAGTCACTATTCCTCTGGCTTCAATTTTCTTCCTTCTCAGGTGGAGCCCAGTTCAACTGTATACTCTCTATTTTGCCCTCTACCTTGCCCATTTATTCTCATGTCTGTCACACCCTACAAAATTCCATCCTTTGAATACCCTTACCCTTTGCTCTCTCTCCTACTAATGTGCTGGTGGAAAAACATTCTGTAACTGTGGAGACTAGGTCCAATGCAAATTTATGTTATCTAATCTCAACTGGGCTCCATTCTTGAATAGCAATTTTTTTGGTTATTACTCAGTACTTGACTATCTCACTCTTCATGGCTGCTATTCCAAACATTTCTTTCCTCAAACCCTGTCAGTATGTTGAATTCTCTCAGTAAAGGACTTCATGCCATTCTTTATTGACTAAAAGATTATTCATTATAAATTCTCTCATCCTCTAATCTACATCCCAAAAAGCCATCTATACATTCTTCCATTCTTTTCTTCTTTCCTCTAGGCCATAAGGAAGAGGAGCCCCTTCTCCTTAGGCTATTATCATGTAACTTTTCTCCCTTTCACAACCACTGTCTGAAAAAGGTTGGCTATCTACACTTAATACTTCCATTCCTTCACTTCTCACTCACTTCTCGGCCTCTAGTGATATGGTTTCCTATTCTACCCATAGACTGAAACTGCTTTATACAATGTTACCAATGATCGCTTAACTGCTAAATCTAATTACTTTGTCTAAATTCACAGTCTATGTAACTTCTCAGAAGTTTTTGCTACTGTCAATCACACACTCTCAAATTCTCTGTTCCCTTGGCTTCTGTGGAAAAAAATAAAAGATATGTACAGAAAGGACTAAATTCTCCATCGACAGGAACAAGTATTTATGCTGCTGTTGTGGCATCATTAGCGACATTATTTCATATCTACTTATTTTTGTGTATCTCATCCCTCCAGTAAAAAGTAAGCTCCCTGAGAGCAGATACTTTCTTTTTGTATCTTACTCATAGTAAGAACTAGATAAATGTATGTTATATTGGATTGCATGACAGAATGCGATCTCTCAAAGAACTTATCTCCCGATCTCCACAGGTTAGAACCTTGGGCTTAGTAAGATACGGAAAAAAGGAAGGGAAGAGGAAAGGGAACAAGTGTTTATTAAGCACCTACTATGTGCCATGCACTGTGCTAAGCTTTTTACAAATACTGTCTCATGATCATTTGATTTGATAAGATGAAATTTAATAATAAATACCTAGTCAAATTGGCTTTCAAAAAATCAACTTTGATAGTACAAGCTATGGGATATATGTTTAGATCAGAGGTGGAGAACATGTGGCCTCAAGGCCACATGTAGACTTCTGGGTCCTTGGGTGAGGCCTTTTGACTGTGTCCAAATTTTACAAAACATATCCTTTTATTGAGGGGATTTATTCTGTGAAGTTCTGGTCTAGATAATATTTCTTCAGAAAAAAATATCTAGGGATTTTAATGGATTGTAAGCTTAAAATGAATTACCAGTGCAACATAATAGGCTAAAGCTAATGGAATCCTAAAGTGCACCCAGAAAAGGCCATAGCTCTGGCCAAATCTCATCTGGAGTGCTATGTCTGCTCCTGGGCACTAGTTTCTAAGAAACACTTTGATAACTTGGAGAGAGTGCTGAGAAGGGCGATTAGGATGATGCAGGGTCATTGGGCCATTGGGATATTTAACCTAGAGAAGAAAAGAAGGAAAAAGTGGAGGACATGATAGCTGTCTTAAAGGCTATGAAGAGATGTTGCTTGGAAAAGGGATTAAACTTGTTCTTCTTGAAGTGGATCGAATAAATAGAAATAGGAACAATCAATGGAAGTTGCCAAGAACAAATTTATTCTTGATGCAAGGAAAACCTTTCTAAAAATTAGAGCTATCCACAAGTGTCATAGGAAGCTGTGGGGGTGGGTGGGAGGAGTGGAAGCTTCACATTAACTGTAGTCTTCAAGCAAAGGTTGAATAATGACTTTTTAAGGATGTTGTAGTAGGGACTCCTCTCTCAAGTATAGATTGGTCTAAATAGTCTCTTTGGCCCTCTCCAAATTTGGCATTGTGTGATTCTGAATTAGTAATAATCCTTGAATACGTTTAACAGTAAATTAAGACAGGGGAACTTGCTGTTGATTGAAAACATCACTGGATTTCTGTGGCTTCATATTATTTCAGGCTAAGAGAAGGCAGTGTTGATCAAGATGTTCAGGATTAAAAGTGCTGATCTCAAGGATCAATTAGCGTGTGAAACCTTGGGATTTAGCAGAACTAATTGATTTGCTCGGGAAGACTAGTGATAGATTGGAGGCAATGGAATGGAGGTTGCAGTTTTTCCAAAGCAGATCAGAAATGAGGCACAGAAAGGACACGATATCTGGGAACCCTTGGAACTGGGGGGCCAGTGTGAGTCATCAGTCATCTAGGTGACCGGAGTATGGCACTAAGGATGGAGACATCCCAGAGACTTTGCCCATGGTGTTCTAACTAATTAAAAGCCTTGGTACTTTGATACCTGGTACTGTACTTCCACACTCCTAATCCCATCTCAGGGAAAATTAACCCATTCAGCTTTGGGACTCACCCTAGAGTAGAGATGATCTGAATTTGAGAGTTAGTCCTAACCTCAGTTCGATGTATTAGCTAGCTACTCCAGAACAGGCTTCATCCCATCCAACCAGAGACTAATCATCTTTCCATCTGCATTAGCAACATAAACACTCCCCATCCCCAGTCTTTTCTGTCTTTTACTAAGGGAATAATAATCAAATTGATATTAGCACTACTACTAAGGAGAGCATAACAAGCTACTTCTCTATGGTTCTACTTACAATACTGGTGACTCCCTACACCAGGAGTGGGGAACCTATGGCCTCAAGGCCACATGTGGCCCTTGGGTCCTCAAGAGCAGCCCTTTAACTGAATCCAAACTTCACTGCACTTGAGGAACTAGAGGGCCATATGTGACCTCGAGGCCATAGGTTCCCCACTCCTGGTCTAGACCAAAGCACTGTTTCCATGACTGAATATTGTATAACCTTAGTAGAATGCAAGGCCAATTTTTTTTTTAACTTCCAATCTCTAGGGTAGTCCATCTAGTTAGGGAGTTATATATGACCAAGATGAGCTGAATAAGACACACAGTTCTGGATACTTCTGGTTTCTAGCCACCTACTCCCTCTTCTATTTCAGGCAGCTAGGTGGCTCAGTGAATAGAGTTAAGGGCTTGGTGTGAAGAAGACCTAAGTTCATATTCTGTCTTAAACACTTACTAGCTGTATGATGCTGGGCAAGCAGAGCGCCTTTCTGGGCCCAAGTTTCTTTCTCTATAAAATGGGATATTGTAAGGAGCAAATGAGATAATCTGTGTAAAGTGATTTGCAAACCTTAAAGTGCTATATAAATATAAGCAATTATTATGAAAATTGTTGTTGATTGTGTGATAGCTTTATTTGATTGTTCAATTGTGTTTAACGAAGGAGGACTGCATCAGAAGCAGCTCCACTCAGATGATTATGAATTACATGGAGGAAAAAAATAGGAGAAAAGATGAACCTGTCATGCTTGGCATCTGGACAGGAAATATGCCTCTTTTAAAAAACATTAATTCTGTAGGCTGGCACCAACTCAAAACCATAACTCAACAGTCACCACTGATGTGTTTCATTTTACCAGCCTGCCAGAGACCACATTGGTTCAAAGACATTTGTCAAAGATATTTAAACAAACTGCACCAAAAAAAGGTCCCTCCATGCACAAATAGGATAACCATTATTATATTACAAATGGGGAAAGGTCCCTGATTAAAGACTTTGTGTAACCATAGAAGACGCTTATATATATATATATATGCATAGGGAACTTATAAGGCCATGGAACAAAATAATTCTCACCTAACGTACTGCAGAGTTCTCAGTATCCTCTGATGTCACTTTACAATTTTCTACTTCTCTTCCACTTTTAGCTGTGTCACATTTCCATTGTCAACTGGATGGCATCTTTGTTCTCTCATGTTGTTACTGTTGGGCATTTTTACCAATTAGTTATTGATGAGTCACTCTCTCCTACCATCTTCTGGTTTTCAGGTCTCTATTCCTGTGTACTGAGAATTATTGCTTGGAAAACTTCTCCCTGGCAAGGTCAGTCCACCATATTCAGAAGCCATCACATGTGGAGAAAGGTAACAAAAATCTAGCATACCTTCCCAGGCTAAAATTATCTATTCTTTGGACTGCCCATTATCTGGTACTCATTTGGGGACCACTGTCTGATCTGGGGTTTTAAAATTCTATGTAAAACCAATTTAATTCCTGATTATGAACCTTTGCCTCCAAAACCCATTTCAGAGTTTCCAACCTGTTGTAGCTGTGTAAAGTCTGTGAGCCTCGCTCCCAAGATTTTCTTTGATTGCAAACAAAGTTAGGTGAAGCTGGCAGGATCAATGTTCCTACATTTCTTGTGAATACTTATCAACTCCCCTGACTTCTGCTCCATGTTTTAGATAGTCCCCAACTTCACTAGTCTCCCCACATTGGCAGTTAAAGTTCCCTGGGAATGTGACTGCGTCATTTAGAAGAGGTTAAGTCGAGTGAAGGACCTCACGGATTGTAAAAGGTTTTTCTTTTTAATTAAAAAAAAAATTAGGCATGTTTCCTGCCAAGTTCCCAGGCATGGTAGTTATATCTAGTCTCTTGGTTTTTCCCCCATGTAATTAATTTACAAAGGCTCAAGAATGAATAGAACATTGGATCTGAAGGTTGGAAGAGGAATTCAAATCTATCCTCGGATATATCCTAGCTATGTAACAATGAGCACATCATATAACCTTTGTCTGCCTCAGTCTCCTCAGCTTTAAAGTGGGAATAATAATAGCACCTACTTCCCAGGGTGGTTGTGAGGATCAAATGAGATAATATTTGCAAATCACTTAGCACAGTGCTTAGCACATAGAGCCTACTTAATAACTGTTTGTTTCCTTCCCTTGTTAAATACTGTCTCACAATAAAAATGTAGAGAAGGAAGAAAAGACAGAGAATATTTTTACATCCAGGAGTTGTGCAGCCACATTAAAAGGCTGGGATAAATTGAAGGTATGATATTTCTGTGAATGAGTTGTGGTACTCCTTAGTGCCTAGGGAAAGTAATGTGGGCTTAGCACCACAACCTAATAATGGGACAGATGAGGAATAATTAGCAAGAATTAAGCCATTGATACTACTGATGTATGCTATAATATCTGGCACTGTATAAAGGATTGTTATAAGTACTAGTACACCAGGAAACACCACTAGAAGCCATGGGGTCTGCTATCAGTTAATAATCATTTATTAAGTGTTTTCTATGTGTCAGCTACTGTGGTAAGCCCTGAGTGTACAAAGAAAGACAAAAACAAGGTCCTTCTCAAGGAAGTCAAATTCTAATGGGGGAGACAGTATGCAAACAACTAAATACATACAAGGTCTTTGCAATGTACGTGGGAGGTAACCTCAGAAGGAAGGCACTAGCAGTGCAGTGTACAGGATTGGGAAAGGCCTTTCGCAGAAGGCGGAATTTTCAGCTGAGTGTTGCTATAACTTTTGCTGGACATAGCACTTTGGTTCTGAGTAGGAGTAGATTTTGTAACTGATATTACTCCATTCTTTGTTTTGCAACCATCTATGTAAAGTCAGATGGGAATCAAGTAATCGAGCAATCACCACCTCCTCTTCTGTGTTGGGTATCATGCTAGTCCCTGAAATACAAGTCTGAAAACCTTCAAGAAGCTTATGCTCTGCTAGGGGGATATAACATGTTCATAGATAGGTAAATATAGGATACATACAAAATATGTAAAAATGTGGTTGCAAGGCAGATAGGACACTAACAATTGGGAGAATTGCAAGGTTGCCCTTGAGATGAGTATGCCCTTGAGCATAGGATCTACGAGTTTCAAGAATCTGCCCCTCATCCTGAGTTACTCTACTTCCCAGTCAACTTTTTACTTTCTAAAGAATGTAGTTGAGTCACATGTATTTTCAACATAGATTATTATCAGATGGAAGGTGGATAAAGCTTAAAGAAAAATTCTATACCATGTATTTGCCAGGAAGTTTGGAGCTGGGGTGGAGAAGAACATTATCTAAGTGCTTTACTTACTGGGGAGTAGGGACAGTGACTTGGAGGCCTAAAAGATGACAGCAATAAGGATTTAGATAGGATGGAGTAGACTTTAAAGGGAGTGAGGTGATTGCTGAGTGAGGTAGGTAGAGAGGGTGAGAGGCCTTGTAGAACAAGGAATTTGCCAATTCTTCCTCCTTTATCAGGAAATGTGAAAGAAGCCTTGGAGAGGGTACCAAGAGATGTGGTGTCCTCAGGACAAAGCTAAGCTTCAATGAGTGAGCACTGACGTTGGAAGAGATCCAGGGTGAAGGTATATGTTAATGAGAGGAAGGTTTCAGAGTACCCAGTGGAAAAGGAAGCTAGAGCAAGATAGGCACTGGGAAGGCTAGGAATGAATGAGTTGAATAGGGGAGAGAGTATGGGGAGGGGTAGTCAAGCAAAGAGATGTTCACCTAATACATAAGGCAGATTTGAATCACAGAGATGAAAGGAATAGCAGATAGGATTTTGAAAGCCATAGCTAGCTCCAAGGAACTAATTAGAATATACACACACATATGCCTCAGAACTAATAAGCTGCTTTCACCAGGAATATTCAAATAGGCCATAGCCCCTTTCCCAGGGTTATAGTGGGAAAAGGGTTCTCAACAGGGAGTTAATCATGTTAGCATTGGGTTTAGGGGCTGAGAAGATCAGTTTGAGTTACTCCTCAGAGTTGAATTTTAGGGATGCTACTTATACTTAGTTACTGTTAACAATGGAATTAGGTTGCGGTGGGGAGAAGGGCACCTACTAAGTATTGGGGATGGCAGCAGGGCTGTTATAGTGCCTAGTGAGGAAGAAGCAGGTATTTTAGCCAGCCTTCAAGGCTAATGTTTCCTAGTCAACCTAACCCATCTTTTGTAGTAATCACAATGTAGTGTGTGATAGAGTAGTGAATTAGATAGCATCTTACTAATTCACTCATTTATTCAATAAGCTTTTAGTAAATGCTTAATATGTGTCAGGTATTAAACTAGATGCTAGAGATACAAAAAAAAAATCCCAAATATCATTGGTTCAAAGAGCTTAGATTCTCTTGGGGTAAGAGGGAGCAACATAAACATAGAAAGGTAAACACAAAGTTTATACAAAATGATGTCTGGGGGAAGGTCACGAACAACTGAGGAGAACAGAAGAGGACTCCTTCCCATAGGAGGTGGCACTTGAGTGCAGCCTGGATTGGAAGCTAGGGATTCTGAGGCAGAGCTGAAGAAGTGAAATCTGTGGAATGTCCTATACAGAAAACAGCAAGGAGGCCAATTGGGCTGAATTGAAGAGTAGGAAGGGTAAAAACAAGCATTTATTAAGTGCCTGCTGTGTGCCACAAATACCTCATTTTATAGTTGACAAAACTGAGGCAGAGATAGGTTAAATGACTTGTCCAGGGTCACATAACTGTAAGTAGTTGATACTGAATTTAAATTCAGATCTTTCTGATTCTGGGCCCAGCTCTCTATTCACTGTGCTGCCACCCAGCTGCCTACTGTCTGAAGCGGAGTAATCCTAGAGCCAGGTTGTGAAGTGTAAAAAAGAGGAGTTTACATCTTATCCTAAAAGCAATATGGAGGTGCTGGAGTTTCCTGATCAGAGAAGTGACATATGTGGTCAAACTTGTGCTTTAGGAATATCAATTAGGCAGTTATGTGGAGTTTGGATTGGAGAAGCAAGAGACTGGAGGGAGGGAAATAAGCAAGAAAATGATAGCAGTATTCTAGGGCAGGTACAAAGAAGGCCTGAGCAGGGTAGTGACCAGGGGAAAATAATATGTGATAAAGCTAGGATTTGAACTAATGTCATCTGACTCCAAATTCAGCAGTCTTTTAACTATATCTTACTGCATCCCATGAGTTAGGAAAAGGGAATAGCTTAGGCACAGGGGTGGGGAACTTGAAGCCTTGAGGCCACCTGTGGCACTCTAGATCCTCAAGTGTAGCCCTTTGACTAAATCTAAACTTCTCTTAATAAAAGGATTTGTTCTGTAAAACTTGGACTCAGTGAAAGGGCCACACCCCAGAACCTAGAAGGCCACATGTGGCCTTGAGGCTGCAGAAGATGAGTTCTTGGACACATTGAGTTTAAGGATATCCAATTGGAAGATTCAAATAGGTAGTTGGAAACACAAGACTGGGGCTGAGGAAAGACTAGGGTTGGATATGTAAAAGATTTGGGAGCCATCTGCATAGAAATGATATGAAGCTATAGGAGGTCACTGAGTGAGTTAATGTAAAGAGAAAAAGAGAAGAGAGGCAAGGAAAGAGTGTTAGAGTATACTGTGGGTGTGAACTGGATCATGTACCAATACAGGAGACTGAGAAGGAGAAGTCATTCTAGGAGGAGGAGAAAAAAGAGAGAGCAATATCACAGCAAATTGAGGAGGAGAGAGTATCCACAGGGAGAGATTAGTCAACAGTACGAAATGCTTCATAAATGGCAAGAAGGAAGAGGACTGAGAAGAAGCCATCAGACTGGCAATTAATTGATCATTGATATCCTTGGAGAGAACAATTTCAGTTGAATGATAAAATGGGAAGCTGAATTGCAACAGATTGAGAAGTGAGTAAGAAATAGAGGCAACTAGCATAGACAGCCTTTTCTAGGAATTTGGCCATGAAAGGGAGAGATTATTATTGTTGTTATTGGTAATAATAATAGATATCATTTATATAGGGCTTTAAGGCTTATAAAATGCTTCATAAATATTATTTCATTTTATCATCATGACAACCCTGGGAAATAGGTGCTATTATTATCCTCATTTTACATATGAGGAACCTGAAGCAGATAAAGGTTAAGTGAACTGGTCACATAGTTAGTAAGTATCTGAGGCTGGATTTGAATTCAGGTATACCTTACTCCAACTCTAGTGCTCTATCAACCTACTTGCCTGATAATATATAATCTCTATCTCTATATAGGACATACAGGATATATAGGATAATAGTTTATGGGAATAATAGAATTAAGAGATAAGCTTACAGTAGCTCATCTGGGATGGCTTGGAAATTAGGTTTTTACTTTCATCTTTCTAGGTGTTACGAATCATGTTCTGGCTACTATAATTCTAGGGAAAGAAGTGGTTTGTCATTTTTTTTTCCCCTGAGCATCCTGCATATTCCATGATTGGGCTTTGTACTGCTTGGGATCCAGGATGTCATGTAAATCTAAGAGGAGATAGGAACAGTGATAACATGTGATGCACATTTGGCTTCACAGATATGTATTTTTTCCTTCATGACACCCTGATGTTATGTGGGCAGTGGGCGTCTTTATGAGACTGTTGAGCAGGAGGCATCTTTAGGACAAATGATAATAACAATTTCTGCTATGTAGTTGCATAGAAAAACTATATCGTTATTGATATGAGGGTACCAAATCCTATATAGAATATAATGCCTTTTAGCATTCTCAAACCTATTTCTACATGTCTGTGGTTAGCATACATTTTTGTTCTTTATGGAATTGTTCATATTTGTTCAATTTTTATATCCTGTTATTGTCCAGAAGAAGTTTATGATGCCCAATGACAGTCACTAATCATTACTTTTTGGCATTACTGTCACTGTTAACCATATTTAGAAACAAGCTGTCAGTAAAGTATAGCCAGTAGCATTAGGGGTTGCTTTCTGGGTCACAGGCCCTAAAGGGAACCACAGCTAAAGCTGTAACTAGGACAGGTCAACTGATGCTCTCCCCCAAAGCACTGGAGCTGAGGGGGCACTGAGAGTAATTATATTCTCTCAGTATTTAGAAACAGCTAGGTTTGAATATATAGTTAGAATAACTTGTTAAAATTGGAAGCTAATAGATGGCTTGACTTCTCCCTTTGGTGACTTGCCATAATCCAGGGGAGGTCCTCCTAAATCTTGTCCTATCCTGCCCCTTCCACACAAACCTAAGAGGCCAACTAGTAGCCTTGGGATATCTTTCATTTTTTTTCACAGAGGTTGGTATTGCAGGATCTTTATAACCACCCATCAAACAAATATTTTAATTACTTCTTCCATTATTTTTCATCAGGAATTACAGGGTTCATTTAGGGAATATTTTGTGCTGCTTATGGTGTGTTCCAAAATTTTGAGTTGAGGCTTTGGCCTGTGGATGGGCTTAGCTAGGAGGCAGCTGAATAAATTGTCCTAATTCACAAGTAGGGATATACTTGTGTGACTTCTGCACATTTAGGGCACACTGTCCCTGTTTAATAACCATTTTGGTAACAATCAGTACTTAGAACCAGAAGATCATCTAGTTTAATCCTAGTGTCTTACAGATAAGGAAACTGAGGCCCAGGAATGTGAAATAACTTGCCTAAGATTTCAAAGATAATAATAGTGGAGCTGGTCTTCAGAGATGGGTCCTCTGAGACTCAGTCTAGTACTTTTTTGTTCCTTGTAGATCACACTGACTTTCCTCCTTTTGCAGTGACTCTAATTTAAGGTTTAGCTGGAAGAAAACTGAATTGCCTGTATTTTTGCAGGAATGTAGAACAGTTCTAATCTATTCCCGCTACAGTGATTGTTTCTTCCCTTCCCATATCATTAAGTTCCTTGCTTTAATGACTTTTCAAATGCCATTAAAAGGAAAATTAAGTAGTGATGTTTCCATATTTATCCAGGATAAAAAAGATTAGTCAGTCTTATAGCCCTTTTTCTCTTAGAGGAAGATTACCAAAAGCTATTATGTTAAGGATGAAAAGTGGGTTGGAATCCTGGCAATGTCATTAACTAGTTGTGCCACTTTTGGTAAGCCATTTAACTGTTTTGAGCTCAGTTTTCTCATCTGTAATATGAGGGCCTTGGACTAGATAATCAGGTTACTTCCAATTCTAGTACTCTTGAGAAGTAGCATAACGTAAGTGAAAGAAGGATGTATTTACAGTTAGGAAATATATGAGTTCAAATGCCTAGCCAGGCACTAGCTGAATGATGATGGACATAGTTCTCTGAGCCTTAGTTTCCTCATCTGAAAAGGAGAGATAATAATAACATAGCCTCACTGGATTGTTGGGAGGATCAGAAGAGAGGATGTATATAAAGTGGTTTGTAAACCCTAAAGCGCTCTACAAATGCTGTGTGTTGTTGTTGTGTATTATTAGCGAGGATCATGCCATTGACTGCATCACACTTGTTAACCTATTTTAATCTCTGAGACTATATTCACTTTAGCCTTACTTCTTCCAGGACGTCTCCTGCATATCTGTTCTTTGGAGCTTGGGCTGTTCTTGGGGAGGGCTCTCTTCTTAAAGGGCATCATTTTGTGCTGCCATCTACAGGCTCAAGCAGGTATCGTTTTCCTGAGGACAGAATAGGTCACTTTTTCAGGAGGAAATCTCACAAAATTATAGACTTTCAGAGTTGTCAGGGTTCTTAGAAGTCTCAAGAGTACGGTCCAGTAAAACTACTATTCACCTTTTATTTTATTCACATTTGCATTACTTTTTAAGGAAAACAATCAACATTTAAAAAGACTTGGCAATTGCAACTGAATCCTAACTGACTGTAATTATTACTACATGATAGCCAGGACTGAGACTTGAGTCTCCTGATTCCTATTTCTATGTATCCCAGATCTCAAATCCCTACTTAAGAAACAGCTAAATAATAAATTAAGTAGTATTTTAAGTAAGGACGGTTTGAACAACTCACTATATTCCAAAAGTAGACCTCATTCTACAAACCCACTGTGCCTGTCTCAAAGGAAACAGCCAAGAGTCCCTGCACATAAATTACTTAATTTGTTTTCTCAGCACATCTCCAAGCAGTAGCTCTTCCCACAGAGCTCTGCTTACTTCAAAGACATGTCTCCACGGGAAAGAAGCATGTGAAGTGTGGAGAATAGAGGAGAATGCAATTGTGAGTCTGAGGGATTTTATTTAGGGCTTTTAATTATTGCAACTGTTAATATCTCAAAACTATTCTCACATTTTGAGACTATCCATTACCTACTGTAGCTGAGGTGGAGCAAACAATAATTATGTTGATTAGGTTCCTAATGTTCACTCTCTTACTTCTGGTACCATCTGTTTTTTTTTTCCTTCCTTAATACAGACTACAAGTCTAGTTTACTGAAATGAATTCAATAAATTTACTTCAAGTCCACAAACATTTATTAGACTGTTAGGTTCAAGGTGCTTTTCTGGGCTTTGGGAGACACCAAGTAGCACACGTTCTGTTCTCAAGGAACATGCAGAAGAAAATGTATGCAAGTAACTATGATACAATGGGAATGAATGAACAAGCAAATGAATGAAAAGCAAGACCGTTTCTGCTTTCAAGTATGGTAAATAACTGCAAAAGGCAAGGGTTAGGTAAAGTCTTATGAGAAATTTGAGGAGAGATCATTTCAAGCTAAGGGAATTAGCTGAGAGTTTTATGGAAGTGGCACCTTAGGCCTTGAAGGAAAGGGTGGATTTCCACAGTCAGAGATGGGAAAAGCACCTATTCTTTCTAAAAATGGTTGATGGTATTATGAAGAAATCAGAGATAGTAGTGGGGAGGATAAAATTGGAGGTTGAAGAATAGTCCATTTTGGCTGGAACATAGAGTATGTGAAGAAAATTATGTGAAGTAAGAATAAAACATTGTTGGAATCAGACTGTGAAAGGCCTTGAATGCTAGCATCAATACTTTAAGCTTTATTTATTAGGCAAATGGAGAGTATGATCATAAAAGTACATTAGTAAAATTGCATGGGAAACAATGCAAAGGATCATATGTTTATATTGGAAGGGACTTCATAGGCCACGTAGACCAAAGCCTTCATTTTACAGATGAGGAAATTAATGTCCAGGGAGACCCTTACTTAAATTCATGAAAGTAGTATGCACCAGCAGTCTGATTTGAACTCAGATCTTCTGACCTTAGAGTTAGTACGTTTTTGGAAGAGTAGAAAGAGTGAAAATAAGAAAAATAGGAGGAGGCTATTATATTAATCTAAGTGAGAAGAGATGGGTCATAAGCAAAGGCTATTGCGGTAAGGGTGGAAAGGATAGATTAGATACGAAAAAGATTACTTATTAAAGTAGAGTTTAAGGGATCTGATACCTGATAGGAGGTTGGGGATGAGAGAGAGGGAAGTCAGAGATGATTTCAAGGTAATAATCCAGGGTGACAGGGGTGATTGTAAGATCTGGTGTTGTGTAGTGGAAAAAGCATGGACCCTGACTTGGAGTCAGATGACCTGAGTTCCAGTCTAATCTCTCCCATTTACTAACTATTCAATTATGAGCAAGTCAGTTAACCAGTCTGGGCTTCAGTTTCCTCATCTGTAAAATTAGGGGGTTGGATTAGAAGACCTGTAAGATCCTTTCCAGGTAAAAATCTAATGAGTAAGTTAGGAGGAAAGGCCTCAAGTTAGGCCTCTTCTCAAGCCTCTTACACTGCCTCTTTTCCTTCCCTCTCAACAAAAGACCTTAACTTTTACTGAAAAAATAAAGGTGATGGAATATTACTGGGCTGTAAAAAATGAAAAAAAAATTCTTGAAAGATTGCTAACCTAGTTTATGGAGTCTTGCACATTAAAAACAGAATACATTTCCTACTTTGTATGAGGTTGTTTCATGTCCATTTAATTTTAAATGTTGACAGAAATATTTAGTGTTTTGTATAAAAATAAGGAGAGGAACTTAGATCAAGGAAAAGAAAGGCTTAATTTTGGCTTTACTCATATTTCTTAATTATAGGAATGAAAATGAAGTCTCATGTTCTGTATTAATAGATAATGTTTTCTTGTATTTTTCCTATGTTTTTGTACATAATTGATCTAAAATTTTAATTTAAAGCACTAAAGTCAAGTATTTTTCTAGCTAGGGGGTCGTGTCTTTACTAATGCTTTACAGGCCAAACTAATAGAATAATTTCATTTTAGTTTATTTAATTAAAACTCACCAAAGTGAAACAGAATGATGATATTGCTTATGTCAGCTATTTTTTGCCTTGATTTTACTCACTATGCAATTCAACAAAGCTTTATTGAGTGCATGCTGTAAGCAAGGCACTATCCTAGGCACTTAGGAGAGAAAAACACACATAATACAGTTTGGGACCTGAAGGAAATCATATCCAACTAATAAAACATAAAAAACCTTTAAGTAAATATGAGATAGTTTGAAAAATGAGAGTTCTAAGAACTTGGGAGACTTGGAATGGTAGTACCAGATAGGAGCTTTGACGTAAGCTAAATGTGTTCCAAAAGGCAGGGAGGAGTAAGATGTACGTTCCAAGAATGGGAAACAGCCTGTGTAAAGGTACAGAGGTGGGAAGTAGAATGTCAAGTTTAAGACACAAAAAGTAGGCCCTGTGGAGCATGAGAGTGTAATAATGTGAAATAAGTTAGGAGAGAGAGGCTGAAGCTGGATTTGAAAGGACTTGAAATGCCAAGGTAAAATGTTTGTATTTTTTTTCCTAGAGGCAACAGGAGCCACTGAAGCTTCTTGAGCATGTTGGAGGTCTTCTCACCAGAAACAGAGGAAGATCTAAGAAAGGGCAGCTTTAAAGAGAGAAAATAAGGCGTTCTAGTTTAGGTATGTCTTGATGACTATGAGACAACCTGGTGGAGATGGCCACAAGGCAGTTGATGACGTGGGTCAAGAAAGGGAAAGACAATCATTTTATTCCCATAAGATGACACCATTATTTCCAGAGGTAGGAAATCCTTTCCAGTACTGCTGATGAAACTGGAAAGGACTGGAGAATACAAATCACGTGATAAATATTGGTGAATCTGTCTTTGTAGTTTGTCAGCACATACTTTCAGAGCTCTTGACTTGAAAGGTGAGTGAGACTTTTCAGTCTGAAACTTTTGAAGAGATCCCATTCCCAAGCCAGCTGGGACATATCCACATTATTTAATTTTAGCAGGCCTTCAAAATGGCTAATAAATATTCCAAGTTATTTCACTTCATATTCTTCCAAAGTTTGCTTATTTGTAGGCCATATGTTGATATCCAAGAGCTTCAAACACTTGGATACATCACCTTTGTGTAATTCCCCAAATGGGAGATGCACACAGTATTCTATGTCACTTGCGTAAATGAGGACACTTTCCCTGAAGCTTTCAAGCACTGTGCTGTCACCATTTAGTCTGATTCCACTGAGGGCTACTCCCTTTGAATTCTTTTCTGCATTCATGAGTAAATCATTTAGAGCACTGTACAAGTTGCCATTCTTTATCCTCTCTAGGTTACCATAGAAATTCTCTAGAAGAGATGGGGCATAGATCATATCCACACCATCCTTTTGGAGTGACGCCACCAGCTTGGAGAAGGGCTCAAGTATTTCAATAAGGAGTAAGATACAGGACAAATTTTAAGTTAGTTAGAGTCCTCAAGTAGCCCTGGAACCTTGTTTTGTCACTAGGCCTTGTTATTCCCTCACTGACCATGCCTTTGACATGCACACTACTACAGGAAAGAGCTGGAGAAGGGCCTTACTTGCCCTGTTTCTGTGCTGAACCCTTTGGATTCCATTTACTTTCTCAGGTATAGTTGAACATTCCTTCATTATGACTGCAAGAGTTTTCAAGTGGCAAAGAAAAGTGGGAATATTTTGATACGAGATGTGAAGAGAAGTACATACATAAAAGACATTATGGAAATCTGTATTTTGAGTGTATCCTTAGCTGCTTGCTCCAAATGCTGATTAAGACAGTGTATTGAAATTAGAAGACACATTCCTGCCTGAGGAAGTTCATTGAAGGTTATAACCAGTTCCATTACCCATGAAACCCACAGGTCTGCTTCTGATATCTAAACCAAGCTCTAATAAGGAATGAGGTTGGTATGTTTTTGTAGTTCCCTGTTAGGCATCTTTTAAATCCAAATTTTTATTGTTGTTGAGCCGTTTCAGTCGTGTCTGACTCTTCATGACCCCATTTGAGGTTTTCTTGGCAAAGATCCTGGAATGGTTTGCCATTTCCTTCTCTAGCCTATTTAACAAATGAGGAAAGTGAGGCAAACAGGGTTAAGTGATTTGCTCAGAGACACATAGCTGGTAAGTGTTTGAAGCAAGATTTGAACTCATTAAGATAAGTCTTTCTGACACCAGGCCTAGCATTATATCCACTGTGCCACTAACATGTGGCAGCTCAATTTTATCTACAGAGTATATAAATCATTTCCAGGTTACTAATGCTTATACGTGTAGATATATGTAACTAGAGAAAAATATGGTGCCTGCTGAACAGTAGCAATTGTACCTGTTCCAGAATTCTTCCAATGATGTCTACGAACTCCTTACATTTAACTTAGCTCAGATGAGTTTGGCCCAAATCCATGCCATGGCAGGCTTCTAGCTTAGCAATATGAGGAAAGTGGGAAAAAAAGGGAATTTCCTGCTTAGTCATGGTGTATTCAATGTCATATAACTTGGCAACTTTCTGCCTTTCATTCGCCTCAATACTTGCAAAACTTCCATTCATAGGTTTCAAATTGAAGTGATCAAAGAATGCAGAGGCAGGGTTTTCCAAACTGATAGCTCTTAGGTGCATTTCACTTTGAAAGTGCTTATTCACATTGTCCTTTTTCAGGGAGGAACCCATAATACCACTGACAAAGGCAGCACTAAAATTTCACATCAACCTAATTTGAACCTCATGTTTTATACACATGGAACAATAAACTCACCCCTCACCAGATTTATACTGCAACCAGTCATAGGCGCTATTCACTTCTGGCTGCTATCCCATACTGAGAATCATTTTGTTGGCTTTCCCTACTAACCCTATACTCCACTCAGTGTTCTTCTCTTCCAAGGTTTAATAGCCCTTCCCCAGGACTTGTGAGTAGCTGTGATCCAGTCTGCTGTCAAGGACAGAAAAAACAAAGAGTATAGTAGGCTTAGAAATACTGTCTTGTAGGATTGCCTTTCCAGTCTGTTCTCAGACTTCTTTTATAGAAGCCCAGATCCTGTTGTCACGTAAAACAAACTTCCAAGCAAACAGTAGCAATGATAAACATTAATTTTGCTTACTATATCAAACTAATTGTTCATTCTGTAAGAAGGCGATCTAGCCTCAAGCCAATGATTAAATGATTTAAAAATATGGCTAATTTTGAGTTACCTTTTGGCCATATTTATCCAAGTTGACTTCTGCAGTGTAAATATATAGGAAAAAAATTATTCTAATTTTGACTTTATTTTCAGAATTGGAAAGATTTATGTTTTTAAATTAAAAGGAAAATATTCTAGGTATGAGTCTGGGAAAGAAATTAATAGTTATTTGTAAGGTCTTTGGTTTTGATTTCACAAGTAAACATAAGATGGCTTCTGTCAGCACCATGTTGAAAATTTATGGGTTGCTTGAAAATTCATTTCATTATATATGTATCATAAAGAGATATTGCCACATAAACTTTCAGTGCCTCGCACTTAACTATGTGAGTTTTTTTTTTTTTTAGCTGAGCGAACCATCTTGGAAGGCCGTGATAGAAGTTTAGACTGATTTTTAAATACTCGCTTACCTATGGTAATTTTGTATTTTATGCTCCACATATGATTACCTGTCTCTCCAGTGGCAATAGGGTCATTCTGTCTACAGTTTTGTAGATGGTACCTGCCCGATTAGAGATATTCTTAATTCAAGGCTTAGTAAAAACAATTCAGTTCTTTAAAACAATACTTTTATTTGCATTATCAGTTAACAGTCAATGAAATTAATAAAAGTGAATAAGACCAAAAGGCTTTTTATATGATGCTATTTTTAAAGTCATTGTGCTTTGCATTAGTAATTGTTTTTGAAAGGCATAATTTCTTTCATGTTCTTCGCATTTGTACATATCCTGAATGCGGAAGTACAGACTGACCATCAAAGGATGGTCTGGAGAACAGTTTCTCCTTGATATAGTGATGTACTACCATGCCAGGAAAATGCATATTATCTTCATATTAACCAATACTATGAAAATCATATGTTAAAATGAAGTTGGAAAGGAATACCTCACACTTCAAATCATGTCTCGAAGGCATTAATAAGTGGTTATTGAAAGAATGAATGCTTCAGATATGGCCTTAGTAATGAGTACCTATCAAATGATTCATCTGATCAATCTAATGAGAAAATGTCATCACATTAGAACGTATATTACATAGCTCAGTGCTTCCTTGTATGCTTCACTTGACTTAAAAATAGATCAAGGATGGAAGAATTGTGTTACATTTCCCCCCTGTAGTCTAAGTATTCTCCTATGATCATATATACTTTGATTTGTCCAAGCTCACACAGCCAATAAATGAGGATTTATACACAGATCCTCCTGACTCCAGATACAACATTGTGTATAAGACACCACTTGTCCTCTTGATTCTTTCCTCTCCCACTTCATTCCATATTGTGCAACATCAGTCATTCCCTATCTCTTGCCATTTCAGTCTTGATTTTTTCACTGAATTTTTCTATTTGCCTAGAAATGTTACCAGGTCTACCATGCCCAGAAAACCAAACCAAACAAAAACAAAACCTGTTCCTTTCACCTTGTTATTCCCTCAGGTTTCAATTCCATCTCTTACCTCCTTTGAATTGACAAACTTCTCTGTTGACCTTTGCTGCCTTCACCTCTTCCTCATCCACTCATTATTTAACACTCAACACTTTTTTTTTAGAAAAAAAACCAAACATAATTTATTTGTATAAAATTAACAAAAATCAGCTGGGCTGCATATTACTTATTTTGCTGAGTGGTCATCTGGGCAACAGCCTTCTGTGCTTCATCTGCAGCGTCTGGGGAGGCGGGTGGATACCATCTGATGATACATTCAACCAGTTCTTTTGCTTTAATTCTACAGTGGTTGCTTCTGAAAACTTGCACCTCTGCTTTTTCGGGCTTTTTACCATCTTCCTCTTGGTTGAATAGATCTGTTTTAATCTGAGCTCTGGAAAGGGTCTCCATTGCTCGAATCTTCGATCCTTTCATCCCTATGAGGGCTCCCATGAGCCGAGCCTTGACTAGGAACTGCAGAGGGCTCTTTTCTTGGGGCTTGCATCTTGGTCTCTGAGGACGGGACTGATTATAGTCTTCTCGAACAAGCTGGTTGCTCATGGTGGCCTCGGGACGCAGGTGAAGCAAGCCAAGAGTGGAGGGAAGACTCAACACTCAACACTTTGATGTTTCACTTCTGCACACATCATTCTATTAGAACTGCTTTTTTTGTTATTTTCACTAACTTTTTAATTAATTAATTTATTTTTAGTTTTCAACATTCACTTCCACAAGATTTTGAGTTCCAAATTTTCTCCCCAACTCATCCCTCCCCCTACCACAAGATGGTGTGCATTCTGAGTACTCCTTCCCCTAATTTGCCCTCCTTTCTATTCCCCCCCTCTTCTTTTATCACTTTCCCCTTCTATTTTCCTGTAGGGCAGGATAGATTTCTATATCCCATTGCCTGTATATCTTATTTTCAAGTTGCATGTGAAAACAATTTTTAACATTTGTTTTTAAAATTTTGGGTTCCATTTTTTTTTCCCTTTCTCCCTCCTCACCCATCCTCATTAAGAAGGCAAGAAACTTGATACAGGTTATATGTGTGTAGTCATGCAAAACACTTAAATAGTAGTGATGCTGTGGGAAAACAAACTATATTTCCCTTCATCCTATCCCACCCCCCATTTATTCTATTCTATCTTTTGACCCTGTTCCTCCTCAGAAGTGTTTGCTTCTGATTACCCCTCCTCTAATCTGCCCTTCCCTTTATCATCCCCCCTCTCTTATCACCTTTCCCTGTATTTTCCTATAGGGTAAGATAGATTTCCATACCCAATTGAGTGTGTATGTTATTCCCTCCTTAAGCCAAATCTGATGAGAATAAGATTCATTCATTCCCTTTCACCTTCCCCCACTTCCCCTCCACTGTAAAAGTCTTTTCTTGTCTGTTTTATGTGAGAGAATTTACCCCATTCTACCTCTCCTTTTCTCCTTCTCCCAGTATAATCCTCTCTGACCCCTTAATTTTATTCTCTAGATATCACTCCTTCAACTTCAACTCACCCTGTGCCCTCTATTTATCTATCTATCTATATACATATATACATATAATTTTTCCTTCCAACTACCCTAATACTGACAAAGGTCTCATGAGTTACAAATATCATCTTTCCATGCAGAAATGTAAACAGTTCAACCTTAACAAGTCTTTATGATTTCTCTTTCCTATTTACCTCTTTATGTTTCACTTGAGTCTTGTATTTGAAAGTCAAATTTTCTATTCAGCTCTGATCTTTTCATCAAGAATGCTTGAAAGTCCTCTGTTTCACTGAATGTCTATTTTTTCCGCTGAAGG